GGAATGAACATGTTGAGGTTGACATGGATACTTTTCCTACTGACCCTACGCTTCGACCTTCAATTTGGAGTTATGAGGGATAGAATTCGATGAACATATTTGGTGAAGGGATTATATCAGCCAAAAAAATATAATTTCCCCCAAACAATAATAGGAAATGTTACTCCAAGGTTTATTTTTAAATGGTTTGAAGAATATTTGAAATGATTGAAGTATAGTGTACACAAAGATGATGTGTTTTGTTTAAATTTTTATTTATTCAAACCTCAAGAACCAAAAATTATAAGTCAAGATGATGGTGATTCATTCGTTAGTGAATGATTCAAAAATTAGAAGAGAAAAGAGAAATTATTAACTCATGTTGGGGAAACATAATAGCGCTCACAACAAAGCAAGATAGAAATGTAAAGATTTAATAAATCTTAAAATAGTGTTCCTAAATTTTGGCTCAATAAGAATGATAGGAATAAAAAAGAATATCATATCATGTTTTCTACAGCTGTTGATTGTGTTAATAGAGTCTTTTGATTTTATTTTCATTCTGCCTTTTAACAAGTTATGATATATTCTACAAATTTTCATAAAACTATTCTTAACGGTCATTATGAATTCTCCTTATGCCTTTTTCCCCTTCATCCTTTTTACAACTTCACATTCAAGTTTTCTTGCAATGGAAATTAAATTTCCGGATGATGCCACATGGGAAAATTTTGCCGTCCTCTCTTCAATTCTCATATTTTCCTTCTCTCAACCTTGGGGACAATGTTATTTTTCATGGCGATGAGAGTGTTAGACATCAACAATATATATTTAGTTAAATAAAGTACAAACTAAATGGTTTATACATATGTAATAAGCACTAGTTTATTCTTTTTTTTTAAGATGATCGGTTCTATATTGTAAACTTGGTCTACCCAATTATTATGAATACACCTCCTATTGTAAGAAAAGATTATAGAATAAATAGTGTATGGTTTCTCCGTCTCTGGTTTCTCTTTTGTCTCTTCTTCTTCCTTAAGGATTCCACCACACCTACTCAAATAGTGCTTTCCCCTTGTTGATGTAGATCAAGAAGCATAACAACAATAGAGATGTGTAAAAAATTGCTATGAAATTATTAGACCGGTCACTAGCGGACCGGTCCAATTACAGCGAGTCCCTAAGGGACTGGTTCAGTTTTACTCTAGAAGGGGCGGCGGCAAAGAGAGAGGGAGAGGAGTGGGGTCCACCAATAATTTTATGCTTGGAAGGAAAGGAGGGGGCGGCAAGGGCTCCTTAGTCATTTGACTTGATTAATTAATTACATGCTTTAAGTAAGATGAGAGAATTAAGGTTAGGGTTATGCTTGATTATTATTCTCTTGAGAGTTTCTTCTTAGTTTCTTGGGCTCTAGAGTTATCTAGAGAATGGGAGAGAACGATCCTCCTCTCAAATTGAGGATCAATTGTATCTTTGTTTTTGTGTTTTCGTTAGTTCTCCCTTTTGCCATAAAATTACTATTTGGAGAGTTTTCTAACAGATTTTGTGGGAATCGTTTGTTGTTTTTCTCTATATTTGTTAGTGTTAACTTGATATATTTAAGTATTTCCTATCAAATTGGTATCAGAGAAAGTCTTGGAACCATCGGGGGCTAAATTTTTTAAATTTCAGAAGCAAAAATTTATCTGGAGGAAGGAACCCTTACTGATTTTTTGATCAAAATCCAAAAATTTTCATGGCGGCCAAAAATGTAGATGCTTTGGAAGAACATTTTGAAGGAGAAATGAGTCAAATAAAAGCCACGGTGGAAGATCGAATCTCCTTCGTAGAAAACAAGGTTTCTTCTATGGAAGACAAAATTTTCGATCTTCATTTAATAGTGAAGAAGTTATTAAAAAATCAAATCCAAACAGCTGCATCGTAGGCGAAGGAACCAACGGGAAGAGCTACGAATTCTGATTTTCGTAGGAGGGAAGACGATGTAGAAATCATTGAGGAGAAAGGAGGAATGTGTGAAGGGAGACGTGGAAATAGGGAACATGGAGTAAGGGGCGTTGGTTGGGAGAAAAAAGAGGGAAATTATGATATGAGGGGTGCAGATTTTGGAGAAAGAAGTGAATAAAGTGAAGAGGGTTTTGAAGATGAACATGCAGGGAAAGATCGAGAGACATAGGGAGAGCAAAGAACTTGGGAGAGGGGAAAGTATGGAGGAATACAAGGAAACGGGGGAGAGCCAAAGGTGAGGAAGCTGAAGATGCCAATTTTCGACGGGGATGACGCTTATGGATGGATCTACAAGGTGGAGAGGTACTTCTCCATCAATGGGTTGACGGAGGAGGATAAACTGACAGCAGCAGGCCTATGTTTGGAGGGGAAGACATTGTTATGGTTCCAGTAGAGGGACCAAATGAGACCTATACTGAGCTGAAGAGCATTCAAGGACTGTTTATTAGAATGTTTCCAAACCGACGGGGGAGGGGACTTTTAAGAGCAGTTTTTTGCACTGGTGCAGGGCGGATCAGTGGCAGATTATCGTGAGCGGTTCGAGCACCTAGCCAGTCGAGTGGAGCAATTATCAGAGACGACATTGAAGGGAAACATCATGAAAGGGCTCAAGATAGAGATCAGAGCGATGGTGAAAGTCATGATGCTAATTATATCACTAGGACTTATTATATCACTATGATTTATTATATCACAAGATAAAAGCCTACCTAAATCTAATAAAATATTGGGGGTTTGCAATAAGACTTGTACACATTAACCCTACAGGTCAGAATTGCCTCCTGGACTTATATCCCACCTAGAGTAGAAAATCAACTAACCCACCACCTAATATTTTGAAAACTACATCGTTTTCATCTCTAAAGATTTGAAAGATAAACTGGCTATTATAATTTAGAAAAAAAAAAAAAGGACTTACAATTTTGCCACCTGAAGGGGTAAGTCAATTATCCCACCTAATTATTTTGAAAACTATGTCATCTTACTGTCACATAATATGCAAGATAAGCTAGTTATTAGATTTTAGAAAATAAGAATTACAATCTTACTACTTAAGCAAGATTGTCAGACTCATGATATAGGTGTTAATGCAAAGATTTACATTATGCCACCTAATGACTACAAGATGGCCCATAAGGCTTGCAAATGTGATATGCTAGATAGATTCTTATTGAAATGCCACACTTTATGTTCACAATAATTGATCAAATGTCAATACACCATAACATGAATAACGCCTACTAAAACATAGAGGGACAAGTTCAATTTATTTGGAAATCTTTATCCACGACACTTGTCAAGCATTATTTTTCTTACAAAAAAGGACCTTAAAGTTGATTTTAATAGTAGAAAATTTGACCCTACAGGTCTAACATAAAAAATAGATATTCCAAACCATTACAATAATTATAAGAAAAAAATAATCATTTGCATTAAATAGCAAACGAACCACACATTTTTTTCACTATTACTCAATAGCCGTAATTACAGTTGAATTTTGCTTAATATGCCCCAAAAACGACTAATAAATAGTTAAATACACAGGTAAATATAAATGTATAACCTAGGGCCTAAAATCTCAACAAATGATATTTTCTTCAAAGTACCTTCACATGCATAGATAAGGGACCCTAGGTTTCTAAGAAAATTTACATTTTTATATTAATCTAGATACAAAAAAAAAACTAGAATAGAAAGAACAACTCCAATCTTAAATTGCATTCACTCAATAATAGAACAATATGACGCCGATACAACAACAAGTTAGTATAGCACATCAAAACACATCAATATCAACAATAAACCAAGGAATGCCTAAACTATGTCCAGCATATCGCTTTGCCTGCCAAATTGTGAGTTATTTTTAAGATTTTCTTTCATACTGCCTCCCAATAGAGTTCCATCAATGCACCTAAGCATTGATTTAAGCCAACCATTGGCATGTGGTCATCGTGTTGAGTCAATTTGTTTACTACCCATAATTTTTTTGAAGTTAAAATTTACCTATATAATGAAACTATGAGAATTTTCACTAAATTGTTTGCATAAATTGATTGAAAACAAAAATAATAATAATCTCAACATCAAAAATATTCAACGGGAATCAATTTCTTCAATAAAACCTATCTTTATGAATATATATCTAATTTTCATGAATCAAAGAAAATTTTATTTTAAGAGAATTTCCGAATTTATTAAATGCCTCTTTTTCAAAAAGAACTGCATTTAATTCAAGATTTGGATTGAAAATGCGTTCATTTATATTTTCTAAAGTTATTCACAAATTAAAAATAATTTGCAATTTGTTTCAAGAAAAATAGGAAAATACCTTGGTTTCTAACTCTCCAAAATTGTATATTCTTAATGAAAATATTTTTTTTTCCTTCAATTTTTAGAAAACTCTTCCTTAATTTTCTAAAACTTTAAATCATTTTAGTGGTTTTAAAAGCATGGAAAATCTAGAAAACTAGAAAAATATATTTATATTTTCCACGAAAAGAGCATTTTATACATTTTTTTAGAAAAAAGGATCATAATTTTCATGAATTAAATATGAACTTTTAAAGAAAGACTATTTTTTTAATTCCAAAAAATCTTTAAAGCATAGTGGACCTGAGTGGTGACTGGTGAGATTTCAACCATTGAAGTTAAGTTCAATGGCATAAAATCTTCAAGTAATAATCGGACCATGCTCAACAAACAAAGTGCACAACCTGATCTCATCTAACAAAATCAAAGGCCGCGAGTTTCTAAAAGAAGGGATCGAACAGATAACATCTCGTCTTCCTCCGCCTTCGACAAGGTATCATTCACCAGAGAAAATGCAAGTTCTAAAAAAGTTTCCAGGATTGATTTTTAGTATTTCTAAACAATTCAAAAGCCTGGCATGATCATTTAGGGCAGCTTTACCTCAGTTGGGTGGTACCTAAGGCTTTACCTCAGTTGGGTGGTACCTAAGCGTATATTGTGCATTCCAAATAGGCATCAAGAAAAGTTTAGAGTTTGAGACGGCATACCTCAGTTGGGGCTATGATCAAGTGCCCAAATTAATCAAGAAGTTTCACTCAAGATCGGGAAGAAGACAATGGCATCGCAATCGCCAAGACGCAATCTGGATCCTATGGTGGAACTACCCAAGAAGAGATTAATCGAGCAAAAGAGTTGGTGACGCACGAAAATCTTTTCCACTAAGGACGCACATACCGGCCTCTCAACTGATTAAGATTTTGAACATGGGTATGGGGAGGGACAGCTGGTGCAGCAGATCAGCCTCAAGAATAGCAGGGCAAAGATCTTGCAGAATTGCAGCCAACCAACCTGAGGTGCAGGTGCGATTCTTGGAGTCTGAAGGAGTCGGCTGCGGCCGAAAGATCGTCCGAGAAGTGGTTATGGGAGAGGTCGAGAACCGCGATTCTTAGTAAGGAGAAGCTGTCGACCGCGTGTAAATGGTAAATCGGGGAAGGAATCGACGAAAGCTTGATAGTAAGCTTTCGGGTGCGCTTCTGTGAAGTGCTAGAAGGAGGAAGCGGCCTGCGATTGAGGTCGGCAGCACCGTCGCTGGATGGAGACTCTGTCAAACACTCAGGGGAGAAAGACTAGGACTAGGTATCTCAGCCAGTAGAAGAACGAACAGAAAGCAGAAAGAGCGGAGCATTGGGTTCGCTTCAGTAAAGCATTTCTGCTTGTCATCGGAGAGGGAACCACGCCTCTAAAAGAACAAAAGAGGGCGTGCAGCGGGGCAGGACAGGGAAGGAAAGAGGGGCGATTCTTGAAAGATTCCAGCGGAAAACGCAGCCACGATATATGGCTACCGTTTTTAGAATAAGAAAATAAAATAAAATAAATATCAGCAATGTCGTTTAGAACTTTTGGTAAAAAATATGTGAGGCGGGCAATGATAAACGGTGGGCCATGTCATGTCATTTGTAAGAAGGTGAGGGATGCCGTATCCTATCTTGATAGAATGTTTGGTTGTATGAATTGTATGTGAATTTATTTTAATAAATCTAGATATTTAAAAAAAAGTGAGACCCTACTTTTAGAGAGCGAAATAAGTGAAATCCTAGTCATATGTAACTCATCTATGTTTATAGGTTGAAAGTTGTGGCTATCAGTCAAGATTTTTTGGATTTGAATTTTACGTATGAGATGTATGTGTGAGAGTTTATTTTACTAAGTTTAAATGTCTCAAGAAATAAAATAAAATAAACATAGCTGCAGCTCCTCTGATTTTCCCCTTCTTTCCTCTAGCTATACCGAAGGACTCTTTCTCTTTTAGACTTCTCATTATGGAGTCGCAAGAGGCTTTTTCACTCTTGAGTAGATATCCTTCTCTTCCAAATGGCCCAAATTCCTGCAAAGCGTCCTCCCTCGGCACCAAGTCATTGATTCCTTCCCTTAACTAGAAAAATCTTCTCTCCTCCCATATTTTCTCATATTTCTCTTCTGTTGAGCTCCCACTTAACTTTATCTCCCCCCCCCCCCCCCCCCCCCTTCAAAAAAAAAAAAAAAAAAAAAAAACAAACAATTGGTTGCTTTGTCTAGCTTGTTCTTAGCTGATGAAATTGTTGAAGGTGTGAAAAAGTGGAACCTTTCTCTGTTTGGTTACACTTTGAGAAGAAAGTCATACTATGAGGCTCTCCTTATTGCTATTAAAAAATTGGTCGATAAAATGTACTCTCTCTCTCTCTCTCTCTCTCTCTCTCTCTCTCTCTCTCTCTCTCTCTCTAATGGTTTCTTTTTATTATGCTTCTTCACTCCCGAGGACTATGAGACGGTTTGGTCTGGAGGGCCATAGTTTTGTTGGGTAAACCTTTTATTCTACAAAAATAGCCTCATATGTTCAGCCTAAAGAGGGAAGAGTTCACTCACCTCTATAATACTTTGGATCAAAACCCATGATCTTCCTTTATCTTGTTGGAATAGTATCTATAAGATTACTAGCTACATTAGCAGTCTCCTAGCAGTTGACAAGCTCATGACTGAAAAATAGTGTCTCATGTTTACTAGGTTTATGTCCAGGTTGATAGTACATCATGTACCTTCGATGAGATACTTATTTATGTTGCTGTGAAAGCTCAAATCCTTAAGATCCAACATGACTAGAAGTCATATTTATGAGAGGCTTATGGCTCTTTTGCTTACACATCCAACTTATTTCATCTGAAACTACCATCTAATCTCCTTAATTGCCTAGGAGGCTAGGTTCTAGGAAGCATTACTAGAAAAACTTCAAACATGATATCAGAATAGCCCGGGAATCCTCTTCCCTGCATCATACCATTATACATAATCAAACCCCTATTGTTGACCCCCTAAAACCCAACGGCCTAAATCTCCCTAGATCCTCCCTAGATCCTTCCAGTCCAAATCAGTAAAGGGTCATCATGACCCCTCTCAGCAAAAGACTCAGCCACCACTTCTTCCAAAGACACTGTCTCTATTCTAGATTTAAATTCTCCCTTTAAAAACCCACAACCTACCTTCGTTTACCTTATGGAGTTGTGAATTGGTTACAAATGTCAAACAAGTTTGGATTGCTTAACCAGGAGGAGAAAAATCTTGCTACCTCTGCCAACATCCTACATAAACCACAATCAATACTACATTTAAAGGGGCTAAGAAGACCTCAAAACAATCCTCCAAAAAACCCAACATTACTACATGGAATGTCCGTGGCTTTAATAGCTAAAAAAAAAAAAAAAAGTTTTGTTGTGTAAAAAGTAGCCTATATTCATAAGCTAGACATGCTTGGTATTTTGGAAGCAAAAATTCAACACCATTCAAATGGTGATCCCTAGTTCTTTGCCTCCTACAGAGTCTTTGAGTCGAAGTTTTGTTGTAACAATTTGAGCTCTCTAGTCCTAATCAAATTTGGGTTAAATGGAACACTTTATGCATTACTCTCAAGTGAATTTACAAATCTTGTCAACTAAGACTTGGGAAATTTTTGTTTGCCAATTCATTTCTTGTTTACCTCTCTATAATATATGCCTCCAATTCTTAAGGTGAGCATGATCTGTTGTGGCACTAATTAGTTAGCATTGGTGGGCATATATTTCATCTCTGGGTTATGATTGATGATTTTAACTGTTGCAATTTTCTTAATGAGAAAAGTGGGCATCACCCTATCCTGGTTAACAAATTCTAGACTCTAAACAATTTGATTTTTAATACTAGCATGCATGATTTGGTATATACTAGTCACTTTTTTTAACAAATTTAACCAAAGGACTGATAATCCTATCCATATCAAATTAGATATAATGTTTGTCAATAATTCCGTGTTCGAAAATTTCCTATTTCTTTTGTAAAATTGATGGGCCCCTCTGTTCTAATCATTCTCCGCTCCTTTTGAATCTTAAGCATGCTGAAATTATTAATCATAGGTTCATGTTTAAGAACTTTGGACTAACCTTCCTTTTCTTTGGAAAGATCTTGTGTCAACTTTATCCATGCCTCTTTATGGTGATCCAATTTCCATTTGGTATTAGATATTACAAAATATCAAACTCCTCATAAAATCCAAGCAATTGGCCTCTTCTTAGCTGCCTGCTTCTAAGATTCATGATCTATAATAGCAACATGATTCCTGTCTTTTACTTATTTCATCCAACCCCACTAATTAGACTATGAATTTGAAATTCAAAAGGATGAATGAAAAGCCTCCCTACTTTTCATCCTATTAGGCTTCTTGGACAATTCAAAGATCTAAAGGGAAGTGGCTTATGCACAATGACGATGATTTAAAGTTTTTATATGGAAAATTTAAGGTTAGGAAAATTATAATTGCATCAAGAAGATTACTTATATTGATGGGGAATTTTTCTCTTCTCATGATATCAGCCAAGCCATTACCAATCATTTTAATGACTTATGTAACACCACTAATCAATCTACTAGAAACTTTCCACCCATCCATATGGTCTTTCTATTCTAGCTCATCTTATTCCTTCTTTGACTGCACCAGTTTTTTATGAAGAAATTAAAAGAGTTGTTTTTAGAAGTCCTAATTCCTCCACTCCTGGTTCAGATGGCTTTACAATTGAATTTTACCAAAAAAAAAAAAAAAACATGGCATGTCATTCGACCTAATGTGTGCCAAGTAAAAATTCTTCTTTCAAACCTCTCACATTCCTAAAAGAGAAAAGGCCTTTGCAAGTTTTTTTATTCCAAAGGGTCCTCATGCCACTCATATAAAGGATTTCATGCCCATCTATCTTCGCAATACCTTTTATAAAATAATTATGAAAATTCTAGCTTTTAAGATCGAACAAGTTATGCCCCATATTATACTCCCCAGTTAATCTGGTTTTTTACATAACATAATAACATGAGACAAATTTATTTTAGCTTCTAAAAATTTATATCACTTTAACTCTCTTGGGAGGTCTAAGTTAAGCTAGACATATTTAAAGCATTTGATGCAATTTATTGGAGCTATCGCATTAATAGAATGGTAGAAAAAGGGTTCCCCATTTTTTTGTGTCGTGGATAAAAAGCTTGTATTGAAGATGTCCATTTCTCAATAAGCATCAATAGTGGCCTCCATGGATATTTCAACTCCTCCACTGGTCTAAGATTAGATTATTCCCTTTCTCCTTATTTATTTTGTATTATTATTGATGTCTTTTCTAACTTGCTTGAAAGTTTTGTTGGCTTTCTACCTTGAGGGATTTGCCATTGATGGCACCCATATATCTCATTTACTCTATGTTGATGATCTCTTTGTGTTTGGTAAGGCTGATAGTGCTAACACTTATGCTCTGGATAATAGGCTAAAATATTTGAATTTTCTTCTAGTTTAAGGTCAAACAAGAAAAGAGCTCAATTTATTTTCTAATGGTATTGATAATTCTGATGGGTTCTATAATATTTTAAATTTTCCCATTGGGGAGTGCAAAGTTAAATATTTTTGGATCCCTATCTCTTTTAAAAGGATGCAAGTTTAAGATTTCTGGACCCTTCTTTAGATGATCTTTCACATATTAGATGGCTGCAAAGCCAATCTTTTGGCTTTTATAGGTAGACTATAGTTTGTTTGATTTAGCATATGGAATTTTATTATGCATTGGACTAGAGGCTCTATTTACCTAAAAAATATTACAAATATATTAATAAATTGATTGCAAGATTTCCCTACCATGGTGACACAAAGGAAAAAAAGAATGCATCTTATCTCTTCAAGAAAACTTGCTTGCCTAAAGTTTTTGGAGGCCTTAGCCTTCCCTCCATTAAAGCTCTATCTGCTTATAACTATCCTCTAATATGGAGAAGCCTCACTACTTATAGCTAATGTGCTATGTGGGTTGATAAAAACTCAAGGTTATTGTATTTTTATCTAAAGAATTACTTATGCTAAAGTCTCTAATCAAATGCCAAAGAAAAATTCAGTTTTATAATGTGTAAATCCTATTTAGAATGCAAGTGCATATTATCGTATCAAGTAATAAAGTGATGAATAAAGTGTTGATCCCATGAAAAAAAAAAAAAAACTTGAGTTGTCCTATATGCAATTTATTAATGCTTACTAGACTTTTATGCTTATCTAATAAGCAAAAAAAAAAAAGGTGATTGCAACTTTAAAAATAAAAATAAAAGCTTCAAATTGCAAGAACAAAAGTTTCTAATGTTTAAAAAGTTTTGAATATATAAATCCTTACAAGAACATGATTGCATTAGAGAGGGATAATCCCTGAGGTTGGCATGGATCAGAGTAATTATTCTCATAGTTTATGTCAAGTTCATTGGAGCCTAAGCTAGGATCAATGCTAACTACAATTAA